GACCTGTGATTGGACAATGATTAAAGGGACACTCCAGGCACCCAGACCACTTCTGCCCATTGGAGTGGTCTGGGTGCCAACTTCCACTACTCTTAACCCTGCAACTGTAATTATTGCAGTTTTTTATAAACTGCAATAATTACCTTGCAGGGTTAACTCCACCTCTAGTGGCTGTCTACTAGACAGCCACTAGAGGGCACTTCCTGGATCATAGCACAGGAAACCTGTGCTAGAGCGTTGCTGGACGTCCTCACGCTGTGTGAGGACCTCCAGCGTCGCTCATTTCCCCATAGGAAAGCATTGAAATGCATTTTCAATGCTTTCCTATGGAGAGCGCTAATGCGCATTAGGTCTCCCCGGCCGACGCAATCACTAGTGGATCACTTGGAGGAACTGTGGCGGAGGGAGAAGCAGTGACGTGGGCATGTCGCTGCCTCTAGTAAGTTACTGAAGGGGTTTTCACCCCTTCAGCAACCAGGGATGGGGGTTGGGAGGGAGAGGGGACCTGCAGTGCCAGGAAAACAGATTATTTTCCTGGCACTGGAGTTGCCCTTTAAAGAAATAGTCCACAACATCTTGAATTAAAAAGCCTCCTAAACCACACCTAATCATAAACCCAAGAACCCCAAAAAGCCTGTCTCCTTAAAGTTTCTTTGTATCTCCCAGAAAATTAAAACAAATTAAACCTATATGCTTATAGAGACTGTGTTAGAGTTTAATTGAAATGTAATCTATTTCCTCCACTTGACAAGACGTTGCAAAAGGTGTGGCTACAGCTGTCATGTCTCCATACTGACGGCCTTGGGAAAAAGGGATTGTTCCATTCGTCACAAGACAATATTTAAGGATACTCTTTAGACATCAGTGTTGTACTCTCGCACATGTGTGAGATTACAGCCCCAACATACATACAGTGACAGGTAAGTATCTCTCCTCTTCCTTCACACCTAAGTACTTACACACTAAGTAGCGTTGTCACCATTATGATCTTTGCAAAATATACAAAGACCGGGAAGGTGACAGAGCTGCTTTAACCCTAACTCAAAGCCCACCTTCTTTGATCTTTGATCCAATTTCCAAATTCTCACTTTACCCTGGTGTGGCTGAGATTTAGAGCATAGAGCTGCTCTCATATCTTGGAACAAGGGGTGGTAGTATTCATTGAAGTACGAACATTACTACTTCATTAAACAGACCACATGGTAAAGATTCACAAGCATTCACAAAACATTAATGATAAAGATTCACAAGTATTTACAAATCAATCAATTCTAACAACATTTTACAAATCAAGGCTTTCCATAATTGGGTTTTCTTGCTTTACTGGTGATATTCGAAGTCATTATGCTGATATATCATTCTCAGAATGACTGCAGAATACTTTGAGTCTTGGTGTATCTTCCATCCCCTTTTTAGTGGGTTTGTCCTTACTTGAACCCCATTCTCCACTATCCTGGGTTATTTCTTTAGATTTCTGCTTCCTCATAAGAGTTAGAGTGCTCATGAGTAGAGTTAAGCGATCCCGAACTTTACCGAACATTACGTTTTTTGGACCCCGGACCCGAACACGGACATTTCACTGTATGTTCGGTGTTCGGCGATTTAATGGCACGTTTTCAAAGGCTGCAGGGCAGCCAATCAACAAGCGTTTGACTCGTGTGCCCTTAGAAGCCATCACAGCCATGCCTACTAATGGCATGGCTGTGATTGGCCCGTGCAGCATGTGACCCAGCCTCTATATATAAGCTGGAGTCGCGTAGCGCCGCACGCACATGAGGTCTTATTAGTGTAGGGAGAGGATGCTTCCGCTGTGAGGGACAGCTTAAGAATGAATTCTGCAAACTAGTACATTAGTGGGGTGCCCTTCATATCTGAGAGTCAAATAGAAGCTTCAAATACAGCGGTTACATCAGAGTTTTAAAAAGTAAATTTTTTTTTTGGTGCTAAATAGTACATTAGTGGGATGGTACATTAGTGGGGCGCACTTCATATCTGAGAGTCAAATAGAATCGTCAAATACTGCTGTCACATTGCAGTTTTAAAACTTAAATTTTTTTGGGTGCAAAAAAGTACATTAGTGGGGTGCACTTCATATCTGAGAGTCAAATAGAAGCGTTAAATACTGCTGTCACATTGCAGTTTTAAAACTTAAAATTTTGGGGTGATAAACTGCTAAATAGTATTTTAGTGGGGTGCACTTCATATCTGAGAGTCGAATAGAAGCATCTAATAGCGTCAAATACTGCGGTTACAGCGCAGTTGTAAACATTCTAATTGTTTTGCTGCTAAACTGCAAAATAGTAAATTTTGGGCGTGCTCTTCACATCTGAGAGTCACATAGAAGCGTCAAATAGTGCGCTTAATGCGCAGTTGTAAAAATTCTAATTTTCTGGGTGCTAATCTGCTAAATAGTACATTTTAGGGCGTGCACTTCATATCTGAGAGTAAAATAGAAGCATCTAATAGTGTGCTTATAGCGCAGTGGTAAACATTCTTATTTTCTGGGTGCTAATCTGCTAAATAGTACATTTTGTGGCCTGCTCTTCATATCTGAGAGTCAAATTGAAGCGTTTAATAGTGTGCTTACAGCGCAGTTGTAAAAATTCTAATTTTCTGGGTGCTAAGCTGCTAAATAGTAACTTTTGGGGTGTACACTTCATATCTGGGAGTCAAATAGAAGCGTCTAATAGTGTGCTTACAGCGCAGTGGTAAACATTCTTATTTTCTGGGTGCTAATCTGCTAAATAGTACATTTTGTGGCCTGGTCTTCATATCTGAGAGTCAAATCGAAGCGTCTAATAGTGTGCTTACAGCGCAGTTGTAAAAATTCTAACTTTCTGTGTGCTAATCTGATAAATAGTACATTTTAGCGGCCTGCACTTCATATCTGAGAGTCAAATAGAAGCGTCAAATACTGCGGTTACAGTGCAATTGTAAACATTCTAATTGTTTTGCTGCTAAACTGCTAAATAGTACATTTTGGGCATGCTCTTCATATCTGAGAGTCAAATAGAAGCGTCAAATAGTGCACTTACTGCGCAGTTGTAAAAATTCTTATTTTCTGGGTGCTAATCTGATAAATAGTACATTTTGCGGCCTGCACTTCATATCTGAGAGTCAAATAGAAGCGTCAAATACTGCGGTTACAGTGCAATTGTAAACATTCTAATTGTTTTGCTGCTAAACTGCTAAATAGTACATTTTGGGCATGCTCTTCATATCTGAGAGTCAAATAGAAGCGTCAAATAGTGTAATTACTGCGCAGTTCTAAAAATTCCTATTTTCCGGGTGCTAATCTGCTAAATAGTTCATTTTGGGCATGCTCTTCATATCTGAGAGTCAAATAGACGCGTCTAATAGTGTGCTTACAGTGCAGTTGTAAAAATTCTAATTTTCTGGGTGCTAATCTGCTAAATAGTAAATTTTGCGGCCTGCACTTCATATCTGAGAGTCAAATAGAAGTGTCTAATAGTGTGCTTACAGCGCAGTGGTAAACATTCTTATTTTCTGGGTGCTAATCTGCTTAATAGTACATGTTGTGGCCTGCTCTTCATATCTGAGGGCCAGATAGAAGCGTCAAATACTGCGGTTACAGAGAAATTGTAAACATTCTAATTGTTTTGCTGCTAAACTGCTAAATAGTAAATTTTGGGCGTGCTCTTCATATCTGAGAGTCAAATAGAAGCGTCAAATAGTGTGCTTACTGCGCAGTTGTAAAAATTCTTATTTTCTGGGTTCTAATCTGCTAAATAGTACATTTTGGGGCCTGCTCTTCATATCTGAGAGTCAAATAGAAACGTCTAATAGTGTGCTTACAGCACAGTGGTAAACATTCTTATTTTCTGCGTGCTAACTGCTAAATAGTACATTTTGTGGCCTGCTCTTCAGATCTGAGAGTCAAATCGAAGCATCTAATAGTGTGCTTACAGTGCAGTTGTAAAAATTCTAATTTTTTGGGTGCTAATCTGCTAAATAGTACATTTTGCGGCCTGCATTTCATATCTGAGAGTCAAATAGAAGCGTCAAATACTGCGGTTACAGAGCAATTGGAAACATTCTAATTGTTTTGCTGCTAATCTGCTAAATAGTACATTTGCGGCCTGCAGTGCACTTCATATCTGAGAGTCAACTAGAAGCGTCAAATAGTGCACTTACTGCGCAGTTGCAAACATTCTAATTGGTTTGCTGCTAATCTGTTGCTTAGATTGGAGTTTTAAAAAGTAAATTTTTTGGTGCTAAATAGTATATTTGAGGTGTTCACTTCATATTTGAGATTCAAATCGAAGCGTAACTTTGATTCGAATTTACTACATCGGTCACATGTAATATTGTTTCACACCTACAACACTTGTTACACAGATCTAAGTGATAGAAAACAGATTAATATTTTCTACACTAGAAACTACCAGATAACAAACTGCTATATTTAAACCAGTTAACAATAGCTAAGAGGTACTTAAACAATATTGTAATTCTGGGACTATACCCTTACAAGTCAAACTGAGAGGTCAGTTTATAGGGAAAACTGTTGCCTGGATACAATTCTAAAACAATTTCCATATGTCCTTTGCAGACTTTACATGCTGGAAAACCACAGGTGCCAACTGCTGTCGCTTTCTGCAGAGTGCATACCGGCAAGGAGGGCAGGGTTGAGGAGTGGGTGGAAGGGACCGGGACCCAGTATGTCTGATGTTGAAGTTAGGAGTCACTGTGTGGAATGGATTAGCAGGGTCTGGTGCAGGGTAACCGCACGCCCCCTGGTGTTGAGCACCAGCGTTTGTGCGGCCACATACCAGTTGCAGCTTCAGTAAAAAGAGTACTGGATACCAGAAGCCATCACCAGACTGATCCGCAACTTGGAACAGGATGTGACATTCACTGTAGTGGCTGTGCACGCTTTTGGCATTCTCACCCTGTTGCTGCTCACCTGTCTGCGCTGCAGCGTAACTTTGGCCTTCCTGCTCACCACCTCATGAGACTGTGCGAGCAGCAGCAGGTGATAGTGGAGTTTCAGCTGCAGCACGCACGGGTCAGTGGCTCTGCACCAGACTTCCCTCCAATTGATCAGAGTTAAAGGATTTCAAGCGGACTCATTACAATTACAGGGCCTCTAAAGAGTCCTGTATTGTTATTTGTCGTCACTATCTTCCCGCGTCGGGAGTGGGTCATTTGTGCGCCTGCTGCCTTCCTTGCATGTGGTAGCCGTTTCTCAGGGTCCCTGTACGGAATGGAACCCTGATTCCCCGTTACCTGTGGTCACCATGGTAGGCACAGAACTGGCATCGAAAGTTGATATGGATGACATCCGAATGCAAAGTCGCCGTCATGAGGATGTGCGATTGGCCCGAGGTTCTCTAGAGTCAACAAAGTGCCTGCGCAACTATAATGTCAACAGCTACTCTGCGGAACATGTCCCAATATTTTGGGAGCTACCCCAATTAAAAAAAAAAATATATATATATATATATATATATATACATATGGATTAAGGCAATTTGCCTGCATTTGTGGGAGGTGCTGGTTTTCTACCCCTAGCCTACTTAAGGCACTCCCCTTGCCTGGCTCCTTACCGTTCGAGGTCAGCGTTGAATGAGGATCCACTTCCGGGTTCTCTCAGACGCCATCTTGGTTTCAGTATCCAGGAGGTTTCACCACGTTAAGCTGTGTCCAGGAATCCTGTTCAGGCCTTTCCGCCCGTCCAGCTTCTTCTGACTCCGTTCTCCGTCGTAGATCGCGTCCCAGGGACTCCTAAACCGTAAGTCAGACCTTCCTGTCACGCCAGGACTGGTTCCCACGGCGTACGGTACAGCACGGGTCCTCGCTTTACGGCTTTTCCCTGGTTATGACACGAATGTTTCAAGCCATTCGCGGGCTTTTCATTCGTACGGTCATTCGGCTGAACATGTTTTAAATCGTTCAATAGTCATTTCGCATATCCTATTCATGTTATTTAAACGAATGTTCATTCGGTTGTTTTGCCGTTCGGCAAATTTTACATACGCTCATACACGCTTTGGTTCGCATAAATCATACGGTTAAACTATTCTAACTTCTGTGTTCCCCTCACATTTGCTTTCGGCTGTTCTGTGTGTTCACGTATAATCCTTTCATGAATTATATTCACCATTTCATGTGTATATAACATTCGGTTAAAGTATTGCTTGCTTAAATAGATTATTGTTGATTACTTTTAACAAATTGTCAGTATTGTATTACGTCCACAAATCAAGTCCAGTTCTCTGTGTATACCATTTGACTCCCACGCTTTCAGGGGTCTGCATTACTTATCCATTTATACGAATGGACTCAGCCTATGTTACAAGCCTCATTTCTGGGTTATTAATACAACATATACAAGGATAGGTTCATTTAAGCAATAATTCTCGGGTTGATACGTCTTTGCTATACATACATATCATATAGATATACATCACTTTACATCATGTTAAATCATTTTGGGGTATCCCTGCCTTTGGTCTTTCTGCTACATATCATACATAACGCTGTGTTAATTAGGCCATGACCTCATCCATGTCCCTTTCTATAAAACCAGTTACATTTCGGTACAGATCATTGAACTCCCACGCCAGGAGTTTTATAACTATCCATTTCATTTCAATTTACTCAGCCTACATTACAGGCCTCATTTCTCTGTCATGACGATGACACATAAGGCTTAAATCCTTTTGCATGCATACTCGGGTTGAATCACACGTACTGATCCAACCAATCATACGTCCCCTACACAGTCATATACATATGTATATAACCTACGTTTCATGTTTTCCTTTACACACCATTATCACGTAACACATAGATTGTTTGTACATAGGCCACGGCCTCCCTCAGATGTCTTATTCAAGCATGCAAACATTTCTGAGCCACTCATAGCTATTCCCATGGTATCAACATAATTTTATACATTGCTGCTACAGACTATAAGTCTGGTTCTTTTTACACCCCACACTCATCGTACTACTCTCTTTTACCCATTTTTAGGCTGTCGAGCTTATATAATTGCTCCACACGGTTTATTCCTGTGATTTATCATACTACCAGGTACGTACACCTGCTCATATGGTATTCTACCATACATTTCATTTCATCCCCCTAGTTTAGAGTACTGGCAATAGGGTCACAGGATTCCCAATAGGTATTTACCCCATCTTGGCTGTCGCCATTAGTTAGTGGTCCCGCGAGGCCAACACCCCGCCTCAAACGTTTCGGAGGCAAACACCCATCGGGCCACACGTTAGCTAGCCGCCTCGCATGTTGCAAAGAGAGGGCCTCACCTGTCACTCCCTTCCCCTGTTTTCTGTCGTACAGTCACCGAGAGGCCTAAAACTCCTGCCACTACGTCAAGTGGCCTCAATAACCCCTCGCGCCAACGCATAGATAGAGCCTCTCAAGCCGCTTGGCAATTAGTAGGGCCTCACCTGTCACCAAACAAGCATAATACTTTCGCCATCCGGCCTAGCTAGCCTGCCAGTACAATTTGGTGGTTCTATATACTAATTATTGTTTTATTTATAGTATGTCTCAGGAAGGGGTAGAGGATTTCTCCCTGCCTAGCACCCCGGCTAGAGCTGTCACTCCCACACAAGGAGGAGAGCTAGCTAGTCCAGCATCAATTAGATCCTGGACAATCCCGCGCATAACCACGGAATTAAGGAGACGACAAATCCCCTACCCCGCTACAGCAAGGAAGGCAGAACTTTTCAAACTGCTACGCACATCAACCAATAACATGGAAGCCGGGGAAGGATCTAGCCAGTCCAACCCAGGGGACATACATGCCATGTTATCCTCACTCATGGCATCCATGGGCAAGGTCAACTCCAGGCTGGAGAAACTTGAGTCGGTCACCACGGCCCTCACTCTAGCAGGGCCACCCGCGGCTGCGGTACAAACACCAGCCTTGCCATTAGTCGCTCCAGCCAGCCCCCTGGATGACCAGGAAGTTAGCCCGGCCCACATGATACCTGAGCATATCAAAAGGGATATCCTGGAAGGTAAAGACGTCAACCTGGCTTCCCTGTTGATTGCCTCCCAGGACATTGTGGAACATAAGACGTATGCTTATGATGATGTTTCTGTTATTGTCAGATCTAGGGATGCCCGCCTGAACAGGAAACTGACTATCCCTGAATTTGTACTAGCGTTTGGTATTTACAGGGATGTCGTCTGTGCGGTTTATCCCAACAGAAGAGAGGAGTTTGATCTCTATATGCACAAGCTGGTAGACCTGGGCAACAAATATGGTGGTTCAGCATTCTATGACTACCATAGGTCTTTTTCTGCAAAAGTGGCTGGAGCCTTCTCCCAGTACGGTACACGATCCAACTGGGGAAGGATTGATACCGTCTTATTCTGCAGACACTTTGCAGGTCTAAGAACACCAGCTTGTGCATACTGCTCCTCCACAGCCCATACTACTAATTTTTGTCCCAACACGGCAGACGGACATGCCTCCACACAAGGAACTAGTTCCTCTGGGGATCCAGGGAAACTATCCAAAGACAAATTGGGACGCCCAATCAAGTTTCTGGGCAAGTCCCAGATATGTAATAATTTCAATGTTGGGTCTTGTAATTACAGTGGATGTAGACTATTGCATGTCTGTTCAAAATGTTTTAGGGCACATGCTAAGACCATGTGTCCAAATAAAATGTATTCTAAGCCTTACCTTACGTCCATTAATATGCCAGTATTCACAGCATTGATGTCTCAGCACCCATCTAGACACCTGGTAGATTTTCTTATTTCTGGTTTAACAGAAGGCTTCCACACAGGTATCCTACACATACCAGCTGGCACTCTGGAATGCCCAAACCTACAATCCGCCCAACACAACCCCACAGTGGTTGACACCCTCATAAACCAAGAAGTGGAGGAGGGCTTTGTATTGGGGCCTTTTAGAACTCCCCCATTCACAGAATGGCGCACCAACCCTATTGGTATTGTCACAGGGAAATCTTCCCAAAAACAGAGACTCATCATTGACTTATCGGCTCCCCACTCATCGGCCAACCCCAGTCTTAATTCCCTCATACCCTCTGAGGAATTCTCTCTGCAATACACCACCATAGATCACGCCATTACAGCCATCATACAAGCAGGGGTGGGAGCCTGGCTCAGTAAGACCGACATTACTAACGCCTTCAAATTACTCCCTATCCACCCCACACTGTGGCACCTGCATGGCATCAAGTGGTCCGAGAACTACTATTTTTTTCTCCCGGTTAACTTTTGGGTCCAAAAGTAGCCCAGCTATTTTCGACACATTTGCCGAAGCACTATGCTGGTTACTATTGAACATAGCCGGATGCCCTACAGTATTACATTACTTGGACGATTTCCTACTGGTCGAGGAGAATACTGCACCTCCCACTAGCCTCAAAGCTACCACTAAGCTGTTTGAGCAACTAGGTGTACCCATCTCCCCAAAGAAAACAGAAGGGCCAGACACGGTTATCACTTTTCTGGGTATCCAGTTAGACTCTGCCACAATGCAAGCAAGCCTACCTTACGAAAAGATAGACAATATTCTCACTTACATAAACAACTACCTACAGCTCGGCACTTGCAACCGCAAAGAACTACAGTCCCTGCTGGGGTCACTAAATTTTGCAATGCGCATCATACCTCAAGGCCGCTCCTTTATTTCACGACTATTGCATCTTTTCCCACTTTTTCTACATGACACGCACAGGTTGTCCTTAGATGCCCAAGCTACGGCAGATCTAAACATGTGGAAGAGGTTTTTAACCACTTGGAATGGTAAAAGTATGTTCCTCCCTCAATTGACTGAATCATCTCCTACCATTTGGTCAGATGCGGCATCTACCACTGGTTTTGCAGCAATTTTTGGGAACGAATGGCTTTGGGGCAGCTGGCCTTCAGCAGTTCTGGATTTGGAAGGTTTTTCCACTACCTCAGCTCTTTTTGAGATCTACCCCATAGTGGCGGCTGCCGTAGCGTGGGGTCATTTATGGGCTAATACGCCAGTGCGTTGTTACTCAGACAACCAGGCGACCTGTCACATCATCAACAAAGGTCGTTCCAAATCTCTTACGATTATGAGATTTCTGAGGAAACTCACTTGGTTGGCAGCTTGTCATAATTTCTTCCTATGTTGTTTCCATGTGCCAGGTGTATACAACACAGCTGCTGACAGTTTGTCTCGCTTTAAATTTCAGGAGTTTCATCAAGCACTCCCGTCAGCAGCACCCACAGCCACCATCACTCCAACATTTCAACAACTCATACTGGACTAGACGTCATCATGCAGCATAGCAGGACATTGTCTCAGTTGGCACTTTCACACAATACAAACAAAACATACAACAGGGCTTTCACACTATTCAAACGATTCCTTCTGGAACATAACATCATACAACCGTTTGTTATGACATCTTTTTTGGGGTTTGCTTCCTTTTGCCACCTTAAACTCAAATTGTCATATAACACCATCAAACTCTATCTCACTGGCATTCAACACCACATGCTCATCTTACACCCAAATAACAACAGTTTCATGGCCTCTCACCAAATTAAGACCATACTCAGAGGTATTCAAAAA